CCCAAAACAAGTGAATACCTTTAAATTTTTTCCTTAAATTTCTGAAAGAAAATACTGCCTATCAAAAATAAAATCTATGATATTCCAAGCACATCTTGAATCAGACATGGCCCACAGGTCCCCTTGTCTGCAACCTCCTTACTCTGGTTGCATGGGTTCTCAACTCGGGCTATTCTTGGGAATCACTTTGGACTAAAAAAAGCCTCGGAGAAATCACTTTGGACTAAAAAAAGCCCTACCCCCAGAGATCAGATTTACATGGTCTGCAGTGGAGCATCTGTATATTTTTAAAGCGCCCCAGTTGATTCTGAAGTGTAGCCACTACTCCCTGCTTCAGCCAATTACACATACTAATCCCCGGAGCCCCGTACAATGCACACCGAAGGAGGGCAGACTTCAGTGGCTCTCGGTCCAAAAATCAATTCATTTAACCTGTTCAGTGCTCGCTTCAAAGATGTTGCCTATAAATACTGTCATAAAGGACTGGAGTCTCTGGCTCATTAATCCTTCTACCTGTGAGAGAAAAGCATCTCTTCTTGTAAGGACCACTTGCCAGTGAAGTCAGAAGGCAGAGGGAACTAGCTTGGGGCAGATTTGGGAAAGAGTCAGCTCTCTCTGCATGCTGCCCTGGTCCATTTAGGATCCTGGGGTACTTGAATCCTGGCCATAATCCAAGGAGCCCCACCCACAGATGGAGACCAGTTGCCTGGTTCAGGGGCCTTTGACAGCTTCCCTTCCTCTACCTAGGCTTCCATGGTCTGGCCCATTGTATCAGGCAGGGTTCAACTCAGAAACACTGTAGGTTATGGGATGAGAGATTTATTCTGGGAATTAGACTTTACAGAGCTGAAGGAGGAGCTGAGAAAGGAACCATCCAGGAAGGAAGCTAGAGGATCAAAGGAAGTCCTGACCAGTGCATCTGAGCAGCCAAGCACGTTTGACTGCCAAAATAGAACAGCCAAGGAAAGGCCCTGTGGCAGGTGGTGCTTCCATGTAGCTACTGCCACCAAGCATCTGGTAGTGGGACAGGGACTGCTCTTGGTCATCAGGGTCAGCAGTCAGAAGAGCTGGATGCAGAGCAGAGGAGAGAAGAGACAAGTAGAACCTGCGGGCATCTCTGCTTCTCGTCATCCCTCACTGGGTCTGACCACAGTGACTTTCAGGCATGGCTGCTGCCTCACCTGTGCTTGCCTCTCTCAGCCACACTGAACAGGGAAACAGATTTCCAACTTAATCAAGTTGACCTGGTACAAACCACACATGCCTGCATTCCTCTGTTGCCTCTTCTGGCCATTACTCTCTGTGATGGCTAATTTATGTGGTATCTGGAGCTGGGCCATGGGATGTCCAGACGGACACCTCATTAAACATTGCTCTGGGTGAATCTGTGGGGGTGTTTTGGGAGGAGATTAGTATTTGAATCAGTAGACCCAGTAAAGCAGATTGCAGTCCCCAGTGTGGGTGGGCTTCAGCCCAGTTGTTGAAGACCTGAAGGAAGAGAGAATTCTCTAGCCCAGCCTGAATGTAGAGCTGTCACATTTGTTTCCTCCTGCCTTCAGATGGGCACTCATGCCACCAGCGCTCCTGGTTCATGAGCCTTCAGACTTGGAACTTACACCACTGGATCCATTGGTTCTCAGAACTTTGGGTTTATTACTTATTTTTTAAAATATTTTATTTATTCATTCATGAGAGACACAGAGAGAGAGAGAGGCAGAGACACAGGCAGAGGCAGAAGCAGGCTCCCTGGTGGGGAACCCGACGTGGGACTTGATCTCAGGACCCTGGGATCACGACCTGAGCCAAGGCAGACACTCAACCACTGAGCCACAGGCGTCCCAAACATTCGGGTTTAGACTGCAACTACGCCACTGGTTCTCCTGGGCTTCCAGCAGATTGTGGGATTTAGCCTCCAGAATCCTGTGAGCCAATTCGTTTCTGTCTCTCTCTCTTTCTCTTTCCAATGGGTTTTCTTTCCCTGGAGAATCCTGAAGAAGACACTCTCTCTCCTACACACTCTTTAATTTCTCAGAAGTTACCAAATTCTTTCCCACCTGAAAGACCTTTCTCTTGAAGCTGAAATGTATTTCCTCCCCACCAACCCCTCACCCGGCTCTTCTTTTCTCATCCTCTCTGGCATAGTTGAAGTTACTTTCCCTGGACTTCCAATATAAGTTATCTGCCTGTTATTCTTGTTTCATATGTACAACTTGGGGTTGTATATATACAACAAAGAGGGGGGCACCTGGGTAACTCAGTCAGTTCGGTGTCCAGTTACTGGTTTTGGCTTAGGTCATGATGTCAAGGTCCTGGGATCGAACCCTGCATGGGGCTCCTCACTCAGTGTGGGGTCTGCCTGTGGATTCTCTCCCTCCTTCAGCCCCTCCCTCCACTCACGCTCACTCTCTCTCTCTAAAATAAATAAATCTTAAAAAACAAACCAACAAATAAAGAGAAAAGGATCAATACAGAGCTTGGGGTTGTATATTTACTTGTAGCATCTCTTTCTTCTACTAGCTCTGGAGTTCTTTGAGGTCAGGGATTGTGTATATTTTGTTCACCATTATAAACCTAGTGCATGGCACACAGTAGGTTCAAAACAGACCTACTAAATGAACAAACATAGTCATTCTCTCTCTCTCTCTCTCTCTCTCTCTCTCTCTCTCTCTCTCTTTTTTTAGTAATCTCCATACCCAGCATGGGGCTTGGACTCACCACCCTGAGATTAAGGGTCCCATGCTCCACCGCCTGAGCCAGCCAGGTACTCCCAAACAGTCATTTTCAAGGCCAATGTTTGATACAGTGTTTTAGAGGAAAAAAAGATGGTCCCTTGTGTAATATGTGGCTTTATTTTGCTTTATAATTTATGATGTACATATGTCAAAACAAACCAAAGCAAAAATACTTAGTCTCTGTCAGCAGGCAAAAATTAACCTTACTACCCACTAACCCTGCTGGGATCCCCCACTGGCCTGGTAAAACCATTAGAAGCAATAACTAAAACTTTGTTTGTGATGTAATTTAATAACTAGCTCTCAGCAGGAGTTTTAATAGTCACCATGCAAGGTCTAGAAAGTTTTTATGGCTTAATGGCCCACATACATTCACAGCTCTACATACTTTAGTGTCTACATTATTTTCTCTGTGAGAATGCTTTATCCAAATAGACTACTTTGCTTAAGAACATGTTTTTCCAAAAAAAATTCCAGACAATTATAATCCCAGTGCAAATAATCCCACCACAATACATGAACTAATGAACAGTACATGAGCAAAGAAGTTTATGGCATCCCTGAGACATCCCTTAATAAATATTAAGTTTCCCACATCTCCAGGGTTATTTTTCTGTAAGGATTCAACAAATTGGCAACAGGTAGTAAATTAGTCCTAGAGATGTAATGCATAGTAATAGTGAATACTATTATCTAATGCATAGTAATAGTGAATATAGACCACAGTATTGTATCACAATCATCAAACTTGTGAAGACAAGATTCTCTTTTTTTTAAGATTTTATTCTTTTTAAGATTTTATTTATTTATTCATGAGAGACACAGAGGAGACAGAGACAGAGACAGAGACACAGGCGGAGGGAGAAGCAGGCTCCATGCAGAGAGCCTGACGTGGGATTTGATCCCCGGTCTCCAGGATCACGCCCTGGGCTGAAGGCAGTGCTAAACCGCTGAGCCACCAGGGCTGCCCTTAGGATTTTATTCTTAAGTAATCTCCACACCCAGCATGGGTCTCAAATGTATAAGCCCGAGTTCAAAAGTCACTTGCTTCACTGACTGAGCCAACCAGGTGTCCCAACAAAGAGGCTAGATCTTAATTATTTCAACCACTAAAAGGAAATAATTATGTGATGTAATAGAGGTGCTAATTATCAGTACAGCAGCAATCATATGACAATACATAAACATATCAAATCAACATGTTGTACGCCTGAAATTTATACAATGTTATTTATCAAATTTATTTCAGTTTTAAAAATGCTACTGAGGGCAGTCTGGGTGGCTCACCAGTTTAGTGCTGCCTTCAGCCCAGGGCCTGATCCTGGAGACCTGGGATCGAGTCCCACATCGGGCTCCCTGCATGGAGCCTGCTTCTCCCTCTGCCTGTGTCTCTGCCTCTCTCTCTCTTTCTCATGAATAAATAAATAAAATCTGTAAAAAAAAAGAAATGCTACTGAACTCAATAACTGATTATGCAAATGTCCATGAAAGAAAATGAATAAGTAAATAAAGGACTTTTCTTTAGGGAAGATAAATATGAATATTTACAAAGAACTGCTGGGCCTTACCTCTGCTTTGTCTTGATGCTTAGCTGTAAATCTGTAGCATGTTTTTTTCTTTTTTTGTAATATAAAAATAAAGAATTAAAAGCAGGCAGAAACATTGCATAGACTTGGAAAATAACTCTTTGGAGTAAAGAGTTCAGTATTTTCAGGAACTCATGTTGAACATTCTTCCATCTGGTTCCCATAAGAGAATTCTTACTCCTTCCACCACTTCTCAGTGTCCCTGTGGTTACAGCTGAGCTCTTCTCCGTTTTGCCTAAGAAGCAAGGAAGCGAAAGTACCTCTGGAGTGGAATCAGGGGCTTCACTGAAGCAAGCGTGGATGTTCTGCTACCAAACAGACTTGGTGGGAAATCTCCAGCTTGCCCAGGGCCAGGCATTCACTCTCACCATCAGCACCACCTCTCTGGGGACGAGTAGGCCACCAAAGCTTCTATTCTAGAAGGGCTACAACTGGCCTGAACCATCACAAGGCGGTTGTCCACAAGGAATGGACAGGCTGGAGAATGACAAGGCTTGTGGCATAACGCAGGTTCATGCACTGCCTGTAGATGGTGGACGGTCCTCTCCGGGTGGCAAGGCAAGGACAGCCAGCATAGCTTCCAAGCACTGGAAACTTATGCTTACGTAAGTGCTAAAGTGAAGATCAATGTCTCCCCAGGACACACCTCTGTGTTCTCTCTTTCCTAGCCCACAGGCAATGGTTCTGCAAGCGTGTTCCCCAGACTGGCAGAATCAGCAGCAGCACTTTGTGGGAAATGCAAATTCTCAGGCCTCACCCAGACCAACAAAAACCCTGCAAGGTGGGGCCCATTGGTGTGTGTGTCTTCACAAACCCTTCTGATGATGCTGAGATACACTAAAGCTTGCAAATGGCTGCTTTAGTCTGGGGCAGTGTTTCTCAAACTCTGCATTGTAGTAGAATCTCCTGGGAAGCTTTGGAAAATCCTAATGCCTGGGCTTCACCCATGTAAATTAGGTCAAAATCTGGTGAGGAGAAGATCAGTAGTTCTTCTAGATTTCCCGCATGATAGTTTGAGAACAAGTGGTCTATTCTAGGGACTTGAGGCCCAAGAGTCTCTGGACCTGCAGCTTCTGCATGGTTAGAAATGCAGAGTCTCAGCCCCCAGCCCAGACTTGCTAAAGCAGTCTGCACTTTCATAGGATCCCCAGTGATTGGTAAAGTACATGAAAACTTGACGAGCACTGGGGTGCCTGGGTGGCTCAGTCTATTAAACATCTGCCTTTGGCTCAGGTCATGATCTCCAGGTTCTGGGGTCCAGCTCCCTGCTCTATGGGGAGTCTGCTTCTCCTTTTTCCTTCCTCTCTCTCTCTCTCTGCTCCTCCTCCCCTCACCCCCACTCATGCTCTCTCTCTGTCTCTCTCTTTCTCTCAAATAAATAAAATCTTTAAAAAAAAATGTGATGAGGCACCTGGGTGGCTCAGTGGTTGAGCAGCTGCCTTTGGCTCAGGGTGTGATCCGGGGTCCTGGGATGGAGTCCCGCATCAGGCTTCCTACATGCTGCATGGAGCCTGCTTCTCCCTCTGCCTGTGTCTCTGCTTCTCTTTCTCTCTGTCTGTGCCTCTCATGAAAAAATAAATAAAATCTTAAAAAAAACCTTTTATATTTATGGTGAATATAATGAATAAATAAAACTATATATATATATATATATATATATGACACAGAGAGAGAGGAAGAGACACAGGCAGAGGGAGAAGCAGGCTTCATGCAGGGAGCCTGATGTGAGACTCGATCCTGGGACTCCAGGATAATGTCCTGGGCTGAAGGCAGGTGCTAAACCACTGAGCCACCCAGGGATCCCCTAAAAGGTTTTATATTTATTCATAAATATATTCATATATATATTTATTCATATATATAAATGTGACAATCACTGACCTTTGGGGCACAAAAAACACATCTGAAGTTTCTTACTTACAGATCAATGATTTACTGAGTTGAGTCCAGAGGTTGTTTCTTTTGTTTTTGCTGATTCTCTGGTGACACTCCTGCCCCATCAAAGGATGCTCTGGTTGGGGGAGGGGAGAACAACAGAGAAAGGAATTAAATTCAGTGAGCACCTCAAGGGGACCCTACAGAATGAGTAGGGAAGGAAGAAACATTTTAATTAACATTTGGACACATTCTGGAGGTACCTGTTCACCAGATTATTAAGTACTACATTATATATTAACTACTCTCGGGAGGCCTCCCCATAAACCAACTGGTTCTTGCTCTCCCACCTCCAATTTCCAATTTCATTTCTCACCATCTCACCAGATCACTACTGAGTGATTTAGAAAGTGAAACCAAGGCTGGCTCAGAATTGGAGTAAATATTAACCAGGATTTATTATTTCTTTAAAGAATATGAAGAGTTCCAGATTAGAATAGACCAACTGTGGGGTGCCTGGCCGTCTCAGTAGAGAATGTGACTCTTGATCTCTGGGTCATGAGTTTGAGCCCCATGTTGGGTGAAGAGATTACTTAAAAAACAAAAAAGAAAGAAAAGCTGACTTTGTGACCAAGGGCGATAGAAATTTTATTTTGATTTATTTTTAATTACAAGGTTTTTGAAAATTATCTCAGTCTACATTTTTAGTTTTTCCCTCATCTTGAAAATGAGATGTGGCTATACACTCATCTCTGTATGTGTGTATTTATGCACAGTCATGACAGACATGGATTTTTACCATGTCGCATATCCTGGGCAGCAGAATATGGGGAAAGGCTGGAAGTGAACTTCTCTGGATCCCTTATAGCAAGTCACTATACTACACAGGGCCTCCATATTCTCACTTCTATAACAAGGGAGTTTGACAGTTGAGGTTGCAAATTTAAATGTCTTCAGGAGCTTAGATGGAAATCTTTTTTTTTTTTTTAAGAGTTTATTTATTTATTCATGAGAGACACACAGAGAGGGGCAGAGACAAAGGCAGAGGGAGAAGCAGGCTCCCTGAAGGGAGCCGAATGCGGGACTCGATCCCAGGATCCTGGGATCACGACCTGAGCCAAAGGCAGATGTTTAATTGACTGAGCCACTCAGATGTCCTTTTGTATTTTGGTGTTTTGTTTTGTTTTACAGAATTTGAAAGCCGCTCGCAACACTCCTGAGGCCTAGCACTACCTGGGGCCAGCCAGGTAATGATCTCTACACTAAGTGATATCCCAGGATTCCTAGAATTCCATGCTGTTCCTTAAATGAAACTTTTTTCTGTGGCCATATCTGCGTCTCTCACTTATTCTTTCAATAAATATTTGAGCACCTACTATAAGCTAGAAGCCAGTCTATTTAAAAAAACAAGAAAAAAAATGACATAGGGTTTCTCCTTTTAGGTGAGCAAATGAAAGAGCCAAGTGAAATGCAGTGATATAGAATAAGGCTTCCCAAATAATTAGGCTTGTTGAAAAGGCCTACAGAAAGGCAGACCTGGTTCTTTAGCCAGACACAAAATTTTTCTGAGGCTTGATATTTTTATCTGTAGAATGGGGGAGAATAATAGATCTCCATCAAGACTGTGTGAATGTTAGAATTCTGTCTATAAAGTGCCTGGCATGTGGTAGATGCTTAATAAATAATGCTAACCAGCACTACTACTGTTATTATTACATTATAAACTCCTTGGAGGGGCACCTAGGTGGCTCAGTGGTTGAGCATCTGCCTTTGGCTCAGGTTGTGATCCGAGAGTCCTGGGATGGAGAACTGCATCGGGCTCCCCACAAGGAGCCTGCTTCTCCCTCTGCCTATGTCTCTGCCTCTCTCTGTGTGTCTCTCATTAATAAATAAAAAACTTTTAAATGAAAAATAAATAAATAAACTCCTTGGAGTTAGGGGTTGGGTCTGGTTAAAATCATGCAGTGGCATTTCTTAACCTGCAAGCAGCAGGTTGCTTTCACAAAGGACATACTTTGTTTCCCCTTGGAGACGGCATCAACTGGTATTTCCTAAGACAAATCTGGAAATGCCTATCTAAACTATAGGGTAGCCTAAATATTGCACAATTGTTATTTTTCTAAAAACCAGAAAGCAAGTCTGATGTGATGCAAATGCATTAGAGAAGATTTTTTCAGTCTTTTTCACCAACGAGAGGAGGCTTTTTCCTTCTTGTGAGTGGTGCTTGAGATTCTAAGGCAGGTTTAATTAGAATACCAAGAGCAAGAGTTGCATACTTGGTGATTTTGAAGGGGGCTTCTAGAGATGTGTAAGGGCCATTAGGTTGGATGATTCATTGTTGTTGTTGTTTTTAATTTTTCTAATTGCTCTTGAAAATGTATAACTTTCCTTTTTCTTGAGACACTTATTTCTAACACTGATTTCACACTTACCCTTAAAGCACCATCTCTAAGCTGATGACTCTTGAATTTGCTCCTTCAGGCCATGTTCTCATACATCCAGCTCCCAGCTTGCGTCTCTCCTTGAAGATCTCATACACATCTTGGATTTGGTCAAAACAGAACTTTTTGCCCAAATTTGCCTCCTCTCAAGCCTTTCCTATGCCAATAAATGGTATCATCATACACTGGTTGCTCAGGTCAAACGTTGGGAAATATCTTAATTTTTTTACATCACACTCCACATCCTATCCCACACATAAGCCTTTGTGCTTTGACTCCAATATCCCATAGTGTTATATGGAAAGTGTGATCACTTCCTACCATGTGTATTTGATAGGTCACTTCAAAGCTACTATTATCTCTACTCCAAAAGCCTGCTAACCAGAGTCTCTACCTCTTCCACTTCCACGCTTACACAGCAGCCTGAGTGATCTGAAAGCATAGATGGCATTTGTCCCTTCCTCACAATCCTCCAAAGGATTTCCCTTGCAGGTGGAATAACACCCAGACCTGTTACGATGCCCCACAAAGCTCTGTGTGATTTTGCCTCTGCCTCTTTTCCCCTAGACTCGCCCTACTTGTGTATGTCAAATGTGCCAGGCTTTTAGCAACACAGGGCCCTTACCAGAAAGTTCTTCTCATGGCCTCTCTCTCTTCTCATCATTATCTCTTCCTCAGAAAGATCTTCCCTGACCCTCTTGGCAGAGACTTCTGGTTGTCCACCCTTGTCCATAGAAATGGAACCTCTTATTTTTAGTTGGACCCATAATTGCCCTGCTTCCCTTAACAAGTTATGACCACATGACTAAGTTCCAGCCAATGCAACATAAGCAGAAATATAATGTGGCCATTTCTTTTTAAAAGATTTTATTTATTATTTATTTGAGAGAGAGAAGGAGAGAGAGAGAGAGAACATGAGTAGGCAGAGGGAAAGGGAGGAACAGGCCCAATGGATGGCTCGATCCGAGGACCCTGAGATTATGACCCAAGCAAAAGGCAGACCTCCAACTGACTCAGCCACCCAGATGCCCCAGGAACCAACCTTAAAAAAATCATTGGCACATACCCTTCTTTACCTTTCTTTCGAAACCTTTTATTCATTCTGCTGCCTGGAATATGACATGATGGAGGCCTTTATGGAGCAAGAACACCATAACAGACCTGGATGACTTGTTCCTATTTGAGAGAGAAACAAACATTTATTTCATTTAACCCACTGTTATTTTGGATCCTACTACCAACCTAATTCTAATTGATAGATTAGAATCTTTGGCTAAGGCAGCCTTATTTCATGTTCATCTGTACTCCCTTCTTTAAAGCACTTAGGACCTGAAGTTACCCCATATATTTATTTATGCTTCTATTACATTTTTATAGTCTGTCTTCCTCCCTTCTGGATTGTAAACTCCTTAAGGCCTGCTATATCCCCTCCCCTTGGAAGAGTGCCATAATAGGTGCTTAGTAAATATTTGTGGAATGAATCACTGAATGAAGATCTACTACGTGCCAAGGAATGGGGATACAGAAATGATTCACAAGTGTTTCCTGAGTCCCTTACCTGCGAAGCTCACCACGTAACAGGAACTCTCTAGTTTGAAGTGGCAGTCATTCTCTTAAGAAGCATCTGAAACAGTGGTTCTTATCCAGGGGCACTTTTGCCCCCAAGGGACATTTGTCAATATCTGGAAATATTTGGATTACAAGTTGGGGAATGCTACCGGCATCCAGTAAGTAGAGTCAAAGAATGCTGCTACCCACCCTATGAGGTGCAGGACAACCCCCACAACAGATAATTTTCTTGCCTCAACTGCCAGGAGTGCTGAGGTTGATAAACCATGACCTGGCAAAGGTCTATGCCAGTTAGATTTTTCAGGGAGAAAGTTGCGTGGGCTGCATGAGAGTAGAAACTATGGAGTGTAGGAAACACATGCCATGTGGCCTCTTTGGTGTCATTAGTAAGCATGTGGGATTAAGCCCCAAGTAGAAGTTGGCTGAGTTGTCAAATTCTGCAAAGCTCTCCATTGAGAGGCCAACCCCAACTGTCAACATTCTTGACTTATCACAGGGCCCACATTGTGAGGACAATGTCAACTCAGAACAGGTGAAATTATGTCCAGAACTCTAGAAACCATGCCAGAGAAGCTCTTGGCACAGTATCATCATTAACATAAAGAAGTCCAACATGAATTTTCACTTTGCCCGGTTTTCTCAGGAAGGCTGAGAGACCTCTGAGGATCTACTGTTCTTTGTCGTCGTACATCTCTTCTCTAACAGGTGATAGAAGTGTATCCACATTCATGGCCCTCCTGCAAAATGTAATTATCTGTTGCAGGTAGATAAACAAATGATAGATGAGAGTAGACTAAAGGCCAGGAGACTATTGAAGTGATAGTTTATGTTTTAATTTTTTTTTAAGCTTTCCAATTTGTTAGTCACCGATGTACTTGGTGACCTTGGGCAGTGTACATAATCTTCCTGAGCTCCAGTGCCCTCATCAGCAGACTCAGGTTGGGATCAAACCATGGCTTAGTTGTCTTCCATTCTAAGGAATCATAATCATATCTACCACCTGTTACTATCGGATAATCGAAGGCAACAAATTTTGCCTGGGTTTGAAGAAATAAATTTTTTTACTTCTATTTTTTTAAAGATTTTATTTATTAATGGGAGACACACAGAGAGAGGCAGGGACATAGGTAGAGGGAGAAGCAGGCTCCCTGAGGGGAACCCAATGCAGGACTTGATCCCAGGACCCTGGGATCACGACCTGAGACAAAGGCAGATAGATGCTCAACCATTGAGCCACCCAGGTGCCCCAAGGAAATACATTTTGAGGTAAAGAAAAGACTGTAGTGATTACTAGCATCAGTGTTCACCACCACCGTCACCACTAACACTTTCAAAAATAAAAACTCAGCATTAATCTTTGGAACAGTATTTCCTAAAATATGTTTATTAGAATATAGATACTTAAGATATGAAAATGGGACTCTATGTCAGAAAAACTGGGAAGGGTATTAGATCCTCTTCTTGAAGAATAACAGTGAGTCATTTTAAGTTTTGTAAACCCAGTCTTTTCACTTATTTGACTAGAGAATTCACTTTTCCTTGAATAATGATTAGCATCCTACAGAACTGGTGTTTCTTGAAAGACTTTTGGAGACTCTGCCTTGGTATATAATGACATTATCTTTTGCTCTGTACCTACTGGGGGAGGGAATGATAATACTAGAAGACAATGCCAAGGAAAATAAGCAACATGCTTCCAGACATCCCTGGCCTGCAACAAAAACTTGAGAATTCCCATATACCTGATATCAGGCAACAATAACATACTTGGACACAGTATTAATAAAATCATTTATTGACCTAATTCTGTTAAATAGCCTGTGATGCAAAGAGAGAAATTTGATCTTGTGCCTCTTTGTTGAATTTACTCTGTCAATCCTATTCACTAAGTGACTGTATTACAAGGGTGACAATGAGGTTTCTTTCTCATGACAACTTTGATCAATGGATAGTGGCTGCCTAGAGCTCTATACTGAAAATGAGAAGACCTTCATTGGGTTTGGAGGGAACATATGCTGTGATTGATTCTTAATGTCTGTTCTGGGGGTAGCACTGTGATTTTTTTTTAAGATTTATTTATTTATTTATTTATTTATTTATTTATTTATTTATTTATTTATTTGACAGAGAGAGAGAGAGAGAGAGAAAGACAGAGGGAGAGGAAGAGTGTGAGTTGGGAGGAGGGGAAGAGGGAGAAGCAGACTCCCCACTGAGCATGGAGATGTGAGGCCTGATCC